ACGCACGGACGCACGGACGGACGGACGCACACAGGGCAAAACATAAGTCCCCGTTTTCGGACTCCGTCCGAACGGGGACTAAAAAGTCACGAATATTGTCGTGAATGAATGGTCGTCTTCTCAAAACCAATTTCCTACAAAACTAGAATATATTAATACCTCTACGATAACTAAACCATAACAAATAGAGAATAATATGGAGTCTCCGCAATTCACGAATATCTTTTATTCTTCGCACCACGACCTTTAGTCTCTTGCTAACTACGTAAACCAGCAATATCCAATGTTTATCAATATTACTAAAAAAGAACCATGGTTTAAACAACAAAAAACAATTTTGATTCGTTCACGTTAAAGAGATTCTAGTCACTTTCTTCTGCAAAATCTGAGCGTGGTCTTGCGTGCAATTTGATTGTCATCAATTCACCACACGATGTATTACCTTCGCCCCAAGCCTAACACCAATGTACCAAGTTACTATAATCGTAATGAAGAACTGCGCACTACCAATTATTAAGTGATAACATGGCTCGAATGGGGTTACTCGATTAAATAATGGGCTCGCCTTCGTCTCGCCCTATGGGGTCATTTAGTCTCGAAACCAAACGCATATGAGGTGTTCCGTTTATGTATACTGAATACAGCGCTGCATATACCAAACAAAACATTTACTATTATCCCCGGGGCATGCACAAAATATAATTCAGTTGATTATTTCATGTAAATATCATTATCAGTCTTAAAGGTCTTCAGTTGCCAGTGAATTCAGGTCACATGACTTTGTCCCTGGAGCTGTTCAATAGCGCACAGCAATCGTTATCTACTGTCGTAAGAAACACTAACACTGCCTTTATAGACAGGGTGTGGTGCTATGCATATACGTGAGTTACCATGGAAATCAAATCATCAGCGATTATCAATAACTACACAATGAATACACATTAGATAACACTGAATTTAATGCATTATACATTGTTAGTGTGCTATACTAATACACGCATACAGTGATTGGTGTAAACAAGGAAGCAGTAAGTTTCAAACTGTTCAATTCAGCAAGTTCAATGATAGTGACCGTGAATTCAGCGATGACTAAACTGTACGTCAGTCAAAATACATCACCGGAAATAATTTGTGCGGGAGTGTGCGATTTAACGTTACAAGTAGACTTCGTAGTCTACATCATTCGATCCATCAGCTCAACCGTCAAATGCACTTCAGAATACAGTACCGACAGCTCATCAATGATTGATTGTGATCTCAACTACATTTCTGTTTTAAAATGGTACACGCAGCTGGTTGTAATCGGAACCCCTGTCGGCTTGTTCTGTAGTTAAAAGCAAATAAACGTCCACGTCATCAACATTAGTCATATTGTTCTCGTTAACACAACCCATATATATTTCGTCCATGTGTCCTTCAACTGATTGAATCATTGATTCTAGCAAAACACATCATATATTCACACATCTTAATGGTTGGTGACGCGGTCGATCACTTTGTTCCTTTGTCCTAAAAAAACACGTAGCAATACTAGCAATTTTCGTTCGTATCATACGATAATTTTTAATGCGACTCACAGCGACATTATGGATTTATCCAAGTTGTAGCAATCAAATTATGTATATACTCAAAGCTAGAATTTAGTGTCAGATGATTTTCCCGTTCTCATGTGCAAGTTGGTTCTTTTTCTTAGCTTCTTGTTCGTCCATCGCAATATGATATCCCTCTGCCATTCGTGTAATTACAAATTCGAATATTTGGGTCCATGATTGTTTGGTTTGTTTGTCATAGTGGTGGCCTGTCAATGCAATATCCCACACTGTCTGCATACTGGTTACATATGTTGAGAAATAGTCTACTTTAAAACCCTCAAAATGAATGTGTTTTTTACCAAGTCCAACAAACAAAGTCGTAACATCTCCGTCAAGATTTTCCAGATTTTCAACGCAGGCGCCAACAGCTTGCATAAATCGCCTCGAGTGCCCTCTGAATACTTCGTTTTGCGAAAGAATATCTACAGGAACATACCTGAACGGAAATAAGATCTTAATGTTCTCGTTGATGGCAAATATTTGTAGAAACACCTGGGCACCGTTGCCTGTTAGATCGCAAGCAAGTTTGGGCCACGTTCTCCTCAGCTCCGATATTTGCTCTGAACTGAACCGTGGTGATTTTGAAAGGTTGGCTATATGGACGTTGTTCCCCCGCATGCCTGCAACAGCCGTACCGATCGACTCGGTACACCCCATAATGTAGTCTTTGATATAGTTGTACACAAAACCGCAAATAAATGCCGCTGTATCCTGTCCACAAATATTAACTAGTAGTGTCTTAAGGTAACAGAACTGTCATTGGAACGGGCTTTTACTGTGTATGTTAAACTGTCAAAGTACGCACGTATTTATATTCCATTCACTAAGTAGTTGTAGGATGCACGAGAGAGGAGACGATCAATCACCGATTAAACAGGCTAACAATAAATTAAATCCAATCGAAGCTAATATATTGGGTCCGTTACTGTAGTAGTGGCCAATACAGGACGAGAACGACTAACAAGTACGCAGTGTGGTGCTTGACGATTTAATAACGCTCCTGGTTTGCTAGACTTCCTGGAGAAGTCAGTAAGCCATGCTGAGTGATCAATATTTTCTATATTATTCAGTGCACTTAAGAGCATCTCACAGCTGGAAGTGACGTCTAGAAATACGAGAGTGACTGTCCATGTGATTGCATATTTGTAAAATATCAAGGTTGGTGTGTACGTGCCCCTTTCCGTGTACGCACTATTCACTATTTTAAGATTCATTAGAATATACGACGCGTTATAAGCAGCCTAACCGAGCAAAGAAATCACTAGAAATATAATGAAATCACTTCTAATATTGCCAATAGGTGGGATAATGAAATGAATATGTAAATTAATCTGGGTATAGTATATCATTCAGTGCAGCATCGCTGTGATGTGATGTCACAATTCGTAATTACAAATTAAAATGTGATGTCACAATTCACAATTACATATTAAGATGTGATGTCACAATTCGTAATTACAAATTAAAATGTGATGTCACAATTCACAATTACATATTAAGATGTGATGTCACAATTCACAATTACATATTAAAATGTGATGTCACAATTCACAATTACATATTAAGATGTGATGTCACAATTCATAATTACATATTAAAATGTGATGTCACAATTCACAATTACATATTAAGATGTGATGTCACAATTCACAATTACATATTAAAATGTGATGTCACAATTCACAATTACATATTAAAATGTGATGTCACAATTCACAATTACATTTTAAAATGTGATGTCAAAATTCACAATTACATATTAAGATGTCACAATTCACAATTACATATTACGATGTGATGTCACAATTCGTAATTACATATTGAGATGTGATGTCACAAATCACAATTACATATTAAGATGTGATGTCACAATTCACAATTACATATTAAAATGTGATGTTACAATTCACAATTACATATTATAATGTGATGTTACAATTCACATTTACAAATTAAAATGTGATGTCACAATTCACAATTACATATTAAAATGTGATGTCACAATTCACAATTACATATTAATTAAAATGTGATGTTACATTTCACAATTACATATTAAAATGTGATGTGACAATTACAAATTAAGATGTGATGTCACAATTCACAATTACATATTAAGATGTCACAATTCACAATTACATATTAAAAAGTGATGTCACAATTCACAATTACATATTAAGACGTGATGTCACAAATCACAATTACATATTAAAATGTGATGTCACAATTCACAATTACATATTAAAATGCGATGTCACAATTCACAATTACATATTAAGATGTGATGTCACAATTCGTAATTACTATAAAAATGTGATGTCATAATTCACAATTACATATTAAAAAGTGATGTCACAATTCACAATTACATATTAAAATGTGATGTTACAAATCACAATTACATATTAAAAAGCGATGTCACAATTCACAATGACATATTAAAAAGTGATGTCACAATTCACAATTACATATTAAAAAGGATGTCACACCTCACAATTACATGTTGAAAAGTGATGTCACACTTCACAATTACATATTAAAATGTGATGTCACAATTCATTACATATTTAATGTGATGTTCACAATTCAGCAATTACATATTAAAATGTGATGTCACAATTCACAATTACATTATTAAGAATGGATGTCACAATTC